TCCCTGCTTTCTGTGTTTTTGTAGGTTTCTTTTAATGTTTATTTATTTATTTTGAAAGAGAGAGAGACTCCCAAGCGGGCTCTGCACTGACCGCACTGTCAGCGCAGAGCCTGATGCAGGGCTTGAACCCACAGACCGTGAGATCACGACCTGAGCCAAAACCAAGAGTCAGATGCTTAACAGACTGAGTCACCCACGTGCCCCCCACCCATGTTTGTCTTAATGCTCTGCTATCACTATCTTGAAACTCTTAATTATTTTTGAATACGAAGCCCTCGCTTTCATTTTGCATTAGACCAGTAAATGACGCAGTTGGTCCTGGTTAGTACATATCTCAAAGGGCTGCTGTGAGTATTGACATTTAAGGAGCACTGTTGTTTGGCTCATTCTCCTCGGACTACATTTGCTTTGATTCCAGCTCCCGCAGTAGTGCTGAATTACCCAAGTGGCTGTGATTACTTGTGATTTTTAAAATTCCATCATAGGAGAAAGAGTTCAGGGGGAAATTATCTTGGTGGAAAGGTTGCTCTTCATGCCCCAGATTGATTTTTACAAGGGTTTCCTTGTCTTTGAAGTGCGTGCTTTCTTCACATCTTCCTGTCCTTAGAGTTTATACGGTGCCCCAGGGTTGAGGTGTTTGTACGATATTTACAGAGAGGGAATGGGCATAGGCAGTAACTGGTTTCCATTTGGTTCGGGGCATAAAGGGACTTGGAAGTGTGGGGTCCAGAGAGGAAGATAAATGGAATTCTTTGATTTTCTTGCAAGATTCCAAAATTCTTCTTTTTAAAGTTTATTTATCTATTTTGAAAAGGGGGAGGGAAAGAGAGAGAGAGAGGGAGAGACAGCATCCCAAGCAGGCTCCACGGTGTCAGCACAGAGCCCGATGGAGGGCTCGAACCCACAAACTGTGAGGTCATGACCTGAGCTAAAATAAAGAGTTGGATACTTAGCCGACTCAGCCACCCAGGCATCCAAGCTTCCAAAATCCTTAAAGAGATCAGATTAGGACTACAGTCTGGTTTAACAGCAAGCAGCTTAAGGGCAAAGCCGAGGGCAGCTGGAGTTTCTCTTCAGGGTCCCTTGTCCCGTGTCCCACAGCCACCTGGTCATCCAGCACTATCCACCCCCTCCCAATGCCTTTCCAGTTTAGCCACTTGCCCCTTCTCTCTGTGTCCGCAAAGCCCCAGCCCAAAGCACAGCCATAGCCTCCTGGCGACACTTCCCCCTGGCCATCCCTCTCGGACCAACTCTGATGTTCTTGTTAGATTTGAAAACAACAACAACAGCCTTACGGAGATATAATTCACACACCATACAACTCACCCATTTAAAGCACACAGTTTTGATGGTTTTTGGAATACATTGTTAATTTTTTGAAGTTGGAAAAACCTATAGAATTTGCCATTTGAAGTGTACCATTCAGTGGCATTAATTACATTCACAACGTTGTGCAACCATCACCACTATCTATTTCCAGAGCTCTTTCATCACGACAAACAACAGCTCTGTACCCATGAAGCAATAACTCTCCATTCTGCCTTCTCCCACTTCCTAGGAACCTCTACTTTGTCTCTGTGAATCTGCGTTTTCTAGATATTTCACGTAAGTGGAATCATACAATGTTTATCATCTTGCGTCTGGCTTAGTTCACCTGGCATAATGTTTTCAAGGTTCATCCATGTTGTAGCAGGTGCCAGACGTCATTCCACTTTATGGTTGAATACTATTCCACATTTTCTTTATCCATTCATCTGATGATGGACACTAGGGTTGCCTCTGCCTCTGGGCTATTGTGAATAATGCTGCAGTGAATGGTGGCTTACAAGTACCTGTCTGAGTCCCTGTTTTCACTTCTTTGGCATATAAAAATCCACGGACCCACTTTTGACTCCTCCAGTCCAGGGGCACTCAGCAGCCGGCCCAATGTTTTCCCAACGCACACCTGGTCACCTCCCTCACCGGCTAACAACCTTTCGGTGGCTTACGGTACCGATGGCAATGCTCACAAGGGCTAAGGGTAAAAATGGAAGTGCTCACCAAAGTCTCTGGATCCCTGAGCTCTGGCTGCCAACAACCTGTCCGCCTCACCATGTCCGCCCTCTCATCTCTGCCCGGTTCCCTCTAAACTTTTCTCCATTCTTCTACGGAGCCATGCTCCTTTTGGATTTCACACATGCTGGCCCCTTTTTTTTCTAAAATGTTCGCCCTCCCAGACACCCAGCTTTGGCTAGCTGTGGCTTGGCCAACTCTTCTCATGTTACCCACCTTACCTTAAAAACAAAACAAAGGAACAAAGAAAACACACTCATAAATACAGGAACAGATCAGTGGTTGCCGGAAGGGAGAGGGCTGGGGGTATGAGTGAAGTAGGTAAAGCTCATTAAAGGGTACAAACTCCCAGTTATAACATAAATCAGTCATGGAGATGAAAAGTACAGCACCGGGAATATAGTCGATAACGCTGTAGCAACACAGGGGGACAGATGGCGACTATAGTTATGGCGGTGAGTGTTTCGTGACACACGTATTGTCAAATCACTATGTTGTGCCCCTGAAACTAACAAAACATGCTATGTCAACTATACTTCAATAAAACATTTTTTTTTTTTTTAATTTAAAAAGCCCCTAACACCTCTCTCCCTCCCACTCAGCTCCGCCTCTTTTGTTCCCTGGCCTCTTTTAGTTCCTGATTGTCCAATCACTGTCTTCCTGTCTGCAATAATGACTAATATGGACTGAGCATTTACTCGTTTCAGGCCCTGTCTTACCCATGTCACCTGTACCAACTAATTAAAGCATCACAAGTCTGAGACTTTACAGAGAAGGAAACCTGGGGGTGCACAGTTAGTAAGAGAGCCCACACTGGCATCTGGAAAGCCAGTTTATGCCTTCAAGACAGTGGGGGCAGCCCCCCAGCTCTGTGGGAGCCAGGTTCTCTTCCTGTGCCAGCTTCCCCAGCACACACCAGCTCATACCCAACCAGAGGGGTGAACAGATGGGATGGAAACTACATGAGGGACCTGGGTATTGAGCAAACGTTACTTACAGGGTGGCTGCTAAGTGCTATGCATCCCTACCTACCTTCCCACCTCAGTTTCCCCAACCTAGAACGTGCACACTAATAGTTACAGCCAAAAGTTATTGAGAAGGTTGAGTCCTTTTTTGAAAATATTAAAAAAAAAAAATTTAAGTAGTCGCCACACCCATCGTGGGGCTCAAACTCACAACCCGGAGACCAGGAGTTACATGCTCTACCGACTGAGCCAGTCAGGCACCCCAAGAAGGCTGAGTATTTTAATATAGAATTTGAAACTCATCGTGCCTAGTAGAGTGGGTCCCCCTGAATGTATATGGAGGTTTAGCATTTGCCACCCCACCTCCGGGCAGGCAGGAAGGGGAGGGAAATACCAAGTCCTCTGACCTTGCTCCTGCTGGAGCACTGTGGGACTCCAGTCACCCAGCCCCGCCCCCGGATCCTTTCGCGTATCTCTACGAGGGTCCCACGGGTAAATCAGCGCGTCTTGGTTTTCTCTCTCCAGGCCTCCCCGCCGCCGTACCGTGCGGCCCTCACAGCGCATCTGGGAGCCCGCTGGGGCAGTGCGCCTGGTCCCGCCCTTGGGCCTCATTATCTACGTTTCCGCGTCAGGCCCGCCGAGAACTTGGCAGGGCCTCCCCGCGGTGTTCGGGAACACTTTGTGCCGAGCGCCCGCCCGCCCAGCCCTCCTCC